CAAAGCTGCCCTGGGCCTTGATTGGCCTTAGCTTCCCTCATATGTACCCTTCCTTCACCTTTAATCCCTCTCCCAGCTCCCAGACAACATGGGGTAGGTGCAGGGCAAAGCTGCCTCTGGGACCTGAGTCATTTAGGACCATAAAAAAATCCCATCCATGTGCAATGTAGGTCTCTCAGACTTGGTGGGTGTTTAAGACCTGAAGAGCTGTCATACCCTGAAGACCTAATGATCAGATGGGTTTTCATATGGGGGGAGAAAAAAGCTAAGTGCCATTGCATCCTTGTACGTGCTTGCCATGTAAGGGCAAAGTAAACCTCCTTGTGTTAAATATTTGACTTCTGGACAGCTAGGTGGCTCAGAGCATAGAGCACTGGCCCTAGAGTCAGGAGGACCTGAGTTCAAATCTGGTCTCAGACACTTGATAGCTGTGTGACCCTGGGCAAGTCACTTAACCCCCATTGCTTCATGAAAAATTAAAAAAAAAATTTAGTGACTTTTGAGTGCCTCATTTGGTTCCAACTTCAAACTGTTAGAGCCAGAGTCTAAATGGCTATCACTGTATCCTTAGATCAATGCACTAATCTAGTAGGGAAAACCTCTTTGGGAGAGCAAGCTGCTTGGAGAACAGAAAGTAGAGAGAAGAATCTCATGGGAGTATTTCTATTCAGATTATATTGACTAGTGTCAGATCAGGGTAGTGAGGTGGTGCAGTGAACAGACCACTGGGCTTAGAGTCAGGAAGACTCATCATCCTGAGTTCAAATCTGGTCTCAGACACTTTCTAGCTGCATGACCCTGGGCAAGTCACTTAATCCTTCTTGCCTCAGTTTCCACATCTGTAAAACAAGCTAGTGAAGGAAATGGTAAATTACTCCAGTATCCAAGAAAGCCCCAAATGGGGGTCATAAAGAGCCAGACACAACTGAAAACAATTGAAGTGTCATATTACTCTCACTTATTTACATGTTTATACCTCTCTCTCTCTCTTACACACACACACACACACACACACACATTCCTCTTCTTCCAGTTATATCATCTCTCTGTCAATTTCTTCCATATCTTACTTTGTAATGAATATATTTATGAATTTATAAGATCATAAAAGTTCTAGGTAGGCATTTTAAAGTGCTTTCCACATACTACCTGTGTGAAGTAGACAGCACAAGTATTATTTTCCCCATTTTATAGATATCCAGTCACACAATTACTAGGTAAAGAGCCACAATTTTGGTCCAGGTTTTCTCCCTTTGCTCCTGATTGACTCCAGCTCAATGCAAGAAGTGGAACCTGAACAGTGTCCTGAGCAGCTAGATGGTGAAGTGGATAGAGAATCAGGAAGACGCGTGTTCCTGAGTTCAAATCTAGCCTTAGACACTTCCTAGCTGTATGACCCTGGGCAAATCACTTAACCTTGCTTGCCTCAGTTTTCTCAATTGTAAAATGAGCAGGAGAAGGAAATGGCAAACCACTCCAGTATCTCTGCCAAGAAAACCCCAAAAGGGGTCATGAAGAATTGGACAAGACTGAAACAGCAAACCAACACTAACAGACAGTGTCCTGGTGGAAAAGCATATCCTAATGGAATAACTCATGGGAGGTGCTGAGAAAGCAGACTGAGAAGGGTTTCAGCTGAGAGAGTGAGCATGATTTATCCTGGCTGCATGTACAAATTTCCATTACATATATATAATCTTTTATTACATAATACATAATCATAATTGTGAGCTTCACAATTATCTAAGTATGACATATAAATACTGTTGATAGATACATTTCATGGCTAGAAGAAGTGCAGCTCAGAGAGGTCATAATCAGTCAGCCAATAACCATTTATCAAGTACCTACTATGTGCTAGGCACTGTGCTAAGTCCTGGGAATACAAAGAAAGGCTAAAGACAGTCCCCACTCTCAAGGAGCTCACAATCTGATAGGGAAGAAAACATGCAAACAAGAAACACGATATAGACAGGATAAAATAGTAATAAGATTATGCAATCTGGAAGGCACCTTAAAGGCCACTGACTCCAATTTCCTCATTTTACGAGAAACTAAGACACAGAGAGGTTGAATTACTTGCCTCAGGTCACACAGCTAGTAAGTGATAGAAATGGGATCTGAATTCAGGTCTTCCTGAATCTTAAGTGTAACACTATCCATTATGCCATATTGTCCTTCCCCCTTGGCCTCAACCCTGTTTGGCAGAGAACATACCAATTTGTATCCATAAAGGAAGATTCTCACTGAAAACTCCCTATACTAGTGAAATCATAAGTATGGGGGGAAAATTACTCTAATGGTAGATGAAAGACAGAGAGAGAGAGAGAGAGAGAGAGAGAGAGAGAGAGAGAGAGAGAGAGAGAGAGAGAGAGAGAGAGAGAGAGAGAGAAGAGAAGAGAGAGAGGAAGAGAAAGAGAGAAAAAGAGAGGGAGAGAGAGAGAAAGAGAAAAAGAGAGAGAGGGAGAGAGAGAAAGAGAAAGAAAAAGAGAAAGAGAGAGAGGAAGAGAAAGAGAGAGAGGAAGAGAAGAGAGAAAAGAGAAAAAGAGAGGGAAGAGAGAGAAAGAGAAAAAGAGAGGGGAGAGAGAAAGAGAAGAGAGAGAAGAGAAAGAGAGAGAGAGAGACAGAGAAAGAGAAAGAGAGAAAAAGAGAGAGAGAGGGAGAGAGAAGGAGAGAGAGAGAGAGAAAAGAGAGAGAGAGAGAGAGAGAGGGAGAGGGAGAGGGAGAGAGAGAAAGAAAAGAGAGAAAGACAGAGAGGAGAGAAAGAGAGAAAAAGAGAAAAAGAGAGGGAGAGAGAGAGAGAGGAGAGAGAGAGAGAGAGAGAGAGAGAAAGAGAAAAAGAGAGAGAGAGAGAGGGAGAGAGAGACAGAGAAAGAGAAGAGAGAAAAAGAGAGAGAGGAAGAGAGAGAGAGAAAAGAGAAAAAGAGAGGGAGAGAGAGAGAAAGAGAAAAAGAGAGAGAGGGAGAGAGAGAAAGAGAAAGAAAAAGAGAAAGAGAGAGAGGAAGAGAAAGAGAGAAAAAGAGAAAAAGAGAGGGAGAGAGAGAGAAAGAGAAAAAGAGAGGGAGAGAGAGAAAGAGAAAGAGAGAGAAAGAGAAAGAGAGAGAGAGAGAGAGAGAGAGAGAGAGAGAGAGAGAGAGGGAGAGAGAGACAGAGAAAGAGAAAGAGAGAAAAAGAGAGAGAGAGGGAGAGAGAAGGAGAGAGAGAGAGAGAAAAGAGAGAGAGAGAGAGAGAGAGAGAGGGGAGGGAGAGAGAGAAAGAGAAAGAGAGAAAGACAGAGAGGAAGAGAAAGAGAGAAAAAGAGAAAAAGAGAGGGAGAGAGAGGGAGAGAGAGACAGAGAAAGAGAAAGAGAGAAAAAGAGAGAGAGGGGGAGAGAAAGAGAGAGAGAAAGAGAAAAAGAGAGGGAGAGAGGGAGAGAGAGAGAGAGAGAGAATTTGTGGCTAGACAGGCCATCTGTTGATAATCAGTTTGTACAGTGGCACTGATGTCTTTAACTAGCAGAGCTGTTGTTGGGTCAGTTTTAGCTGTGTCAGACTCTTAGTGACCCATTTGAGGTTTTCTTGGGGAAGATAGTTCCCCAACTCATTTTACAGAGGAGGAAACTGAGGCAAACAGGGTGTAGTGATTTGCCCAGGGTCACAGTTAAGGTCACACAGTCTGAGGCCAGATTTGAACTCAGGAAGATGAGTCTTCCTGTTTCCAGGCCTGGCACTCTATCCACTAGCTACCCTAAACTAGCAGAGCATTAGCTGCACCACCTAGCTGCCCTAAACTAGTAGAGTACTTTGTTCATAAATACAAGTTAATAAATATCTTTTGACTTTGATTAGATTTGATTTACATTTCAAATACAAATAAAATCCATCAACATTTCTAGTCAAAAACACCTCTGTAAATGCTGGATGGGATCCTCTGGATCAATGCTTCCCGCCAGGAAGGCTCTCCCAGTCATTGAACAGCATTCACTTACTTTCCTGATACTTAACACTAATCTGCTCAACATATTCTGACTCCTTCCCAGTCCTCTCTCCCAAACAGAGGAGTCTCCAGGAGAGGTCACTATGTCACACCATATAACCTGGGAACACTGACCTGATGAGACAGGAGCTCACATTAATTATCCAAACACATAGGTTAAGAGGAGAAGAATTTTCTCCATCTTTCAGAGAAAACGTAATCATTATTCATAGCTGATGAATGACAGAGAAGACGTATCATGTTGGTTGAAGAACAGGGGTGAGAAGCAAAGGAAATGAGTGTACGCCCATTTTCTCTTATGTAGGTTAGTGAAAATTAGTAACATAAGAAGTTAGGCAAAAGTCCCAAATGGGAGTTTTGAGGGCTAAGTGCTACAACTGACAAGTTATTCAACTTTAGATAAGTTCATCTGACCTGTCTGGGCCTCAAGTGCCATAGCTATAAAATCAGAGAGTGGGAGCAGGCATTTCCCTTCCAACTCAATATTCTGTGGTGCTAGCAAATGTGTGACTATTAATGAGTTTTTCTTTTCTCACAATTAATTCTTTCTGGTGTCTCAGTGTTTCCGAATAATGTTTCAGAAACATATTACCAATAGCAGGCTAAATGACCAATATTATTTCAGCCTAAGAAAGTGAAGGACTCCTTCCAAAAACAACCAGCCAACCAAACTCAAATGAAAATATTAAAGAGAAGAGAGCAGAGCTACATGGAGTAGGATTCACTTGGAAAAAATAGATAGCATTTCCTTTTATCCAATAAGTGAAGGCAGAGCTCCAATTATAAGAAGCAAGTGATACTAATTTTAAAAAGAAAATCAGGTCCTAAATCCTTCTTGCTGTTGATATTTCTGGGACTTAGCTTACACTTCCCTCCTTCCTCCCTCAGATTTGAGAGAAGAATCCAACAAAACAATTTACAGAATGCCCTCCTCTGGCGCACATGTGCAGTGGTGACAGCTGAATGGGTGGAGGCAGTGAGTACAAGAACCTTCTTTGAGAACACAAAATAGCCAGCTACTCACCGGTGGTCTCTTCCAAACAAACTGGATGGGGAACTTCTGGCTGTAGAACAGAGAGGTCTCATCGGGGGGGAAATCAGGATCCACATACAGAACCTTCTTTTCCATACATTTCTTGTGCAGCTGCTCAAAAGTCTTCTCCTTCACTCCAATAATAGGGAAATTCCGGCTGATAATAGCTGAATAGATGCCCCCAGAATTCCCCCCACCTGTATCGGTGGTTGGGGCTTGGACCGGGGGAGGAACCAGTCCTGGAGAGAGTGGGCCAGCCTTTGTCGGCTGAGCCACCGAAGTTTTAATGACTGTTGGCATTACTGGCAAATTAAGAAGGAAAAAAAAATTTTCAAAAGAGATGAAGACAGTGTTACCTCCAAGGAAAGGAAGCAACAGTAAAGAGGAAGTTAATGCCGTTCAACCGAAGGCTTTGTCCTTTGAGAGACAACGTCAACATTGAGACTTCAGAATTTTAAAACTGTCTGGAAGGTTGTTCTGCATATGTCCATCCCAGATAGCTTAGTGTGATCATATGGTCCCCTGTAGTCAAGACTTTTTTTTTTTTGATCAAGGAACAAGAAAAGCCACTTTTATCTCAGGGGTTCTTAGCAGGAGCATGTATGCCAGAGAGAAGAAGAGTGTGTGTGTCTGTATCAGGGGCTCAGAGAAGCTTGAGCCAGGACAACTAAAAATAAACATGAAGAAAGTTAATGCATGTGAGCAGAAGAGAGAGGCTAGCAGGAGGCTGTTTTCTGAGTTGTCTTATTCCTGAGAAGAGTGACTTGGCTAGGGAAATTTCTATGAGCCTGTATCACTGTGAGGCAATGTTATTCATGGAAAGGGTAAATAGTATGCTTGAAATTATGGAAGGAAGCAATTGACTAAGAAGAATTGACCAGGTGTCATTGAACAGGAAACAGTGTTATCTAACAGCCAATTCATGAAAATCTGTACTGAGAAAAGAGAGCAAGGAAGGATGTTGAGTTCTTGAATTCTGGAGAAACAAATTCTCTTCAAGAATGTACATTTTTCATTTCTAAGACTCTGATGGGATAGCAGAATGCTATCTGGAGATAGTGGCTAGGTGGCATAGTGGATAGAGCACAGGTTCTAGAGTCAGGAAGACTCATCTCCCTAAGTTTAAATCTGGCCTCAGACACTTACCAGCTGTGTGACCCTGGGCAAGTCACTTAATCTTCTTTGCCTCAGTTTCTTTATCTGTAAAATGAGCTGGAGAAGGAAATGGCAAACAACTCCAGTATCTTTACCAAGAAAACCTCAAATGGAGTCACAAAGAGTAGGCCACAACTGAAAAATCACTGAAGAACAAAATCTGGAGCTGCAGCTGGTATCTCTTCTAGATGAATATGTTTGGGGGGATTACCTTAGTTTGGAAGGATCTACATACAGGCTGAGCTCTTTAGCTAAGAAAACTTTCCCTCCCACTCCCATTCATGTGATCTCCCTGGAAGAGTCAACTCTGGCAGGTCAGCCAAAGTGCGCAGTAAAGTGGGACTCACTTGATTTCTCAGGACTCCCATTTTAGGGAACTGACTTAAGATCTAGAATGGCATTCTGAACAAACTGGTCAGTCAGTGTAGGGCAGGATCCCAGCAGGATCAGTAGCTACTTGGCTGACAGACTGAGTGGCTCTGGAGATGAAAGATGACTGGGTGTCCCTGGACATAGAATTCTAGCTTCATGTTCAGTAGTTTTGCACATGCCATCGCTTCTGTCTAGAACACCCTTCCCTTTTTCACCTCTGCCTCCACATCTATCCTGTATGTGATCCATCAGTGGACAAGTACTTATTAAGTTTCTACTATGTGCCAGAAATTGGACTAAGTGCTAAAGATACGAATACTACCCCTCCTTAGAAAGGCACTTACCTTCTAATGGAGGGAGAGGGAGAGAAATACATTTATAAGTATATACAGTATGAAAATAAAAATAATACAAATTCATTAATGCAAAGTAATTTAAGAGGGAGAGTACTAGCAGTTGAGAGGATTAGAGAAAGGTTCATGTAGGTTCATCTTGACTTGAAGGTGAATTGGATTTAAGTGAGGCAGAGTTTCTCAAAGGGTTAGCCTCACTCTTTTCCTTTAGAGTCATTGAAGTCCATTGGCAAGAAAAGAGTCAAGATGACTGGCAACAGCCTAGGATGCAGTGGGTGATTTTGGCCTTTCTAAATGAAGGGGTTTCCCAGGTTTCAGTTTGTCTGAGGCAATGCCCATTCAATGACTAAGAGCTAGGTAAGAATTGAGACAGAAGATGGCCTAATTTACCATCACAAAAATATCATTGTTGTTGTCCTTCCTTATTGGAGGACCAATGACATCACGATGTCTTGACTTGTGCGTGATTGCATCTTGATGGAAGAATGGTATTCTATGAGGCAAATTTGAAAAATGAAGGAATGCACTGAAAACCCGGGGGTCTATGGCTAGTACAAAGAAACAGAGAGAAGATATCAACGGTCATGTGGGAGGCATAGAAAGATGAGCAGCTTATCTGAATCACAGTGTGTGGGAGCGAGAGTAATATCCAATGAGGCTGGAAAGACCGATGGGGAAAAGTTGTAAAAGGCTTCACAAGATAAATATTACAAATGGGGAATTGTGAAGAAGTGACATAGATTCAGAGAAATGGGTTACTGAAAAAAGGATAAGCTAGCTACACAGAGTAATAGTTGACAGGAAGGCAACAAGCATTTATTAAGTTCCTACTATGTGCCAGGCATTGTATTAAATGCTTTACAAATATTATATCACTGCATCCTCAACCTCGGGAGGTAGGTGATATTATTGTTACCCTTTACATCTGAGGAAACTGAGGCAGACAGAAATTAAGTGACTTGCCCAGGGTCATACCACTAGTAAATATCTGAGACCAAATTTGCATTCAAGTCTCTCTTGACTCCAGGCCCAGCGCTCTTCACCATCAGTTGCCTAATGAGTAACCTCTGAATTTCATTGGTAACCACATGATGACAAAAGAGCTAGAGAAGGCCCACAGCATCCCCCTGGGTGATGGATTTATGGGAGGATACCGATAACAATTCCACAGGATGGACAGATGTGGACGGGCTGTGATTCAACAATACTCAGCAAACATGTAGGAAGCACCTACTATGTGCAGAACACTGTGTAAGATGCCGGGAATGATATAAAATTTACATAAGACTTGGTTCTCATAGAACCTATGGTCTAGAAGAAGGATAAGCTATTAACACAAATAATCAACACTGGACAGAATATTCCCACTAGGGAGTATAAAAACAAGTATAATTATCGATGAACTCCAGAATCTTAGGGCTAGATGGAATGGAAAAACAGCAACAACAGTAACTCCCACCAGCATTTATTAAACACTTACTATGTGGTAGGCACACTATGCTAAGCGCTGGGAACTACACAAAAGAAAAGAGAGTTCTGCCCTCCAGGATCTTATATTCCAATGGAGGAAGATAACATATAAAAGGAAGCAGAAAAATTGGGGTAGGAGGGGAAGGAAAGTATCCGTCTGGGAGAATGGTGGAAAAAATAGCAGAGAAAGCAAGGAGGAGATTTATTAGCCTTTATTTACTTATTTTTTGGGCTAGGCAATGGGGTTAAGCAACTTGCCCAGGGCTAAACAGCTAATAAGTATAGTGTGTCTGAGGCTGGATTTGAACTCAGGTCCTCCTGAATCCAGGGCCAGTGCTCTGTCTACTGCGCCACCTAGCTGCCCCTAAAAACCCTTTATTAAATGCTTACTGTGTGTCAACTGTGCTAAATGCTGAGGATACACATAGAAAATCAAGATGGTCCCAGCTCTCAAGGAACTTACATTCTAATTGGTGGAGGAAACACATAAAGGAAGGCTCATGTTCATGTTTGCTTTGGTTCATGGCAGATGGAAAAGCCAGGGAGGACTCAGGTTCTGGCAAGGAAAGCAACAGGACAGATGATAAGGCCCTAAAGATTTGGGAATAATGGTGAGGCAGATGGAGCCTGACCAATAGGATAGGGGGTCCAAGGGTCAGAGTGCAGTGGGGCTCATCTAATAAGGCCCTCCTCATTTTACTGATAAGGAAACTGAGGCCTACAGAGGAACAGTGATTTCTTTAAATTCATACAATTTGTTAATGGCACTTAAATCCAGGCCTCCAGATTCTCAGTCAAGGGCTTGGTTCATACGAAGTGAGAACATGCTTCTTTTGATGTGAATGATTTTCTCATGGCCCTTAAAAAAAAAGGCAAACTAGACCATCTTTTCCTTCAATTCTTACCTAAACTTTTAATTACTGAATGGGTGTTGCCTCAGATAAATTGAGACCTGGGACAGACCTTAGTTTAAAAAGGCCAAAGTCTCCCACTGCATCCTGGGCCATCACCAGTTGTCTTGACCTATGTCTTGTCACTGGATTCCAACGACTCTGGTGGAGAGACTGAGCCTTCTGACTTTGTACAACTCTGCCTCACTTAAATCCTATTCATTTGCAAGTCAAAACGTCACCCTCCTGATATCATCTGTTCTCTTTGAGAATGAAGGAGAAGCAACAATCTCAGGACTCTTAACTGTAATATCTGCAATCCACTGTTTGCTTTCAACCACACTCAACAAGCGTGCATTAAGCACCTACTGTGTGCAGAGCACCATACCAGATGACTATGAAACATATAGAGTTTAGATAAGACCTGATCCTTGACGAACATAATTATAACATTTTAAGAGCCCTTAACTGTGATGTTTAGGGCCCATTGCTTCCTTTCAACCATACTCAAAAAGCATGCAGTAAGCACCTACTGTGTGCAGAGCACTATGCCAGATGACTAGGGAAGATATAGAGTTAAGACAAGACGTTATAGTCTAGAAGGGGATAAGATGTAAACACAAATCATGAATGCAATATTACATAATAAGAGTATTCCAGAGTTAACGGAACTAAGTGCTATGTGAAATACAAGGGAGAAGATTTTATTTGATGAGGAAGATCGGGAAAGGCTTCATTGAAAAGGTACACTCCAAAGGATGGGTGGGAAATGAACAGGCAGAGAAGGGAAGGAAGGATGTCTCAGCCACAGAAAGCAGGGTAGACAAAGGTGTCAAGTCAGAAGAATGCCTCCATAGCTCAGAAGATCCAACTAGACGAGGAATGCGAGAATATCAGCTATGAAGGGGAATAAATCTCTAAGAAGCAGCTGTCTCCTTTAGGCAATGTTTGCTATAGCAGCCCTTTTATCAAGCATTGTTACAAGACATTTGACACCCCTTTGTTAAATTCTAGCACACTATGTCTTCTCCTTTCTCCTATGTCACAAATATATCTATCTATATCTATATATGTACGTGTACACATATATGTATATGTATATTTGTGTACATATATACATATACTACCAAATATAGGGTTATATACACATTTATATATACATATAACCATGCACACATATACATATACATGTATGTGTGTATATATGTACATATGTGTATGTATACACACATATATGTCACAGAACACTCAGCATACCCACCATTATTCCAGTGGTCATTATATGTATATGAAAATTTCAGCCCAGAAACCTCATTAGCAGCTTCAGAGGAGAAAGGGTATTAGCAAAAGTCAGATTGTTATCTGATCATACACACACACACACACACACACACACACACACACACACACACACACACACATACACATACACACATACCCACAGCAAAAGTCAGGTTGTTATCTGATCATTAAAAATATGTATATATGCATATACCACACATATATGTGAGTATAGAAATGTACAAACAATATACACACATGTATATACGCATGCGCACACAGATACATACGTGTCTATATAGAAACACAAAGCTGTATCTTTGTGTATATACGTATATATACGTGTATGTATGTAAATAATGCATACATATGTATATATCTTTTATAATCAGATGGCAGCCCAACTTTGCTAATACTCTCTCCCCTTTGGAGCTGCTGATGGATTTTTTTTTTCTCATCAGGGCTGAAACATTATCTTACGCACAAAATGGCCTCTGGATAATGTTGGGCATCCTGAAT